GCCGCCATCACGGCCGCACCGGAAGTGACCCCGCGCCGCAGACAACCGCTTCCGGGGCGTCCGCTGGAGGGGGCTGGACGTGCCGCGTCAGGCGCGGCGCGGGCACGGATTGGCGGAGCGCCGGGGCGGGACCGGTTTGAACGCGGCGCGCGGCGGCGGTGGCGGACGCTTTGACTCTTTCACGGTCCCATGGCGCCCTCCCGCTCCCGCCAGAACGGCGGTGCCCGCAGGCGGAAGCTCGCTGCCTTCCTCAAGGACTTCGACCGCGAGGGTGCGACGGGGGGTCTTCCTGGGAGGGGGCGGGGCCTGTATGGAGGGGAGGGGGCTGTAAGGGTTGGGGAGTTGAAGGGAGTCTGCTGGGAGGGGGCTGCATGGGAGAAGCGGGGGCGCAGGTTCCCGCCCCTCCCACCCCCGTGCCGGTGCGGGCCCATGTGAGGGGGGCTGTGCACGCGGCGCAGCAGGTGCCTTGGGCCGGGGGGTGCGCAGGGCCGCGGGAGGGGGGCAGCACACGGGCGCGACACGGGCCCGTTTGTCCCGTCATGACTTGCTCTGAGCCTCCCTTCGGGCAGGGCGCTGGGGCGCACAAATGGGTTTCTTGGGGCAAATAGAAGGGGAGCACACTCCTAGGGTGGGGGTGCGGGGTCCGGAGGGGGGTGGGGAGCAGAGAAGGGGAGCGTGGGGCAGGACAGACTCGCGCCCGTGCGGCTTCTCCGTCCTCACGACGTGAAAACGCCAGCCTGGTACGAGCCCGCTCACGTCGCCTCTCCGCATGTCTCGGTTCAGTCAAGAGCAGGCTCGACCGGGTGCAGGCGGACGGACAGAGTCTCATCAAGGAGCTGGAGAAGCTTTACGACATTGAGCTGCTCCGGCTTCCCGTCGCGCTGCGAGAGATGAACTGGCTCGGCTACTTCGGTACGACGCGGGCCAGCAAAGTGGGGCTTGGAGCTGGGGCGGGGGGTTGTCGTGGGGCTCCCCAGTGACAGGACTTCGGATGCCTTCAGCGGGCTTCATGAGAAGTACAAAACGGACGTGTAGTCTGGGCTCGCAGTAGGGGTGATATCTTTTATTACACCAACACAATTTTTGCAAAAAACACATCTTTAATTGCAAGCTTCTGGGCTTTGAAGGGTGTTTGTGCCTGAAAGCTTGCAATTAAAGTTTTTATTTTTTAAATCTAGTTGGTCTAATGAGAGAGATCACTTCTACCATGAGCCCTGATTTCTTTTTCTTCTGGACCAATACAGCTACAACCTGGATACCTGAATACTGACACGTAATTTGGGACTAAATTAAGGCCTCCCGCATCAGGCTTGGTCTCCTGTGCTGTGGCATGCATAAGATCCTGCTGTGTCGCACAAGATCATTAGTTTCACCTAAATGCTTATTTTTCAAAAAAGTTCCAAAATGTGTTTGCTTGCGACTGTCTTAAACTTGCCTGTATATGAAGGCTGGCATTGGAGCGAAGCAGTGAAAAATCACCTTGACAGGAAACTTCGAGGCTGAAGCATTGTGTTTTGTGCTGTAGGCTGCTCCATAGCTGCCAGTCGTGTTCCTTTTTGGCTATGTGTTGCTTCCTTTTAAAGCATGTGCTTTAATATTTAACTAGGATACTACACAAATGTGTCTAGTTTGCATATTTATAAAGATAAATGTTCTCTTTCTAGCTAAAGGAGGAAGTAAAAAAGCCCTAGAAGAGGCAGCAACGGTAAGCAGGAAACTTGCCTCGCTGTTTTGACTTAATGCAAACCCCTTGGAAGATATTTGTTGCATCTAACATGCTCGGTTATCCTAAGGCAGAGGTGGGCAAAATGCAGCCCAGAGGCCAAGTGAGGCCTGCCAGGCCATTCTGTCCAGCCCGCGGGACCCCTACAAAATTTAGAAAATTAAAGTTATCTGCCCCTGGCTGCCTGTCATGCAGCCCTCGATGGCTTGCCAAAACTCAATAAGTGGCCCTCCACCCAAAATAATTACTCACCCCTGTCCTAAGGGCATGTTGCAGGTTGCCTCTGGTCAGCCACCGATCCTTATGTTTCCAAAAGTTGGCACTAGCTCAAGTAGAGGTTTTATTTAACAGTGGGTTTATGCCATTGATCTTTTCAAAGAGGACCAGGAAAGGCAAGTGTTATGAGATCTTTCCCTTACCGTCCATATTAACTGATGTCTTCATTTCTTTTTTAATAATCTTGTTTTATGGGAAGCCTTTTTTTCCCAGCCTCTATCAGCAGTGGGCTAGGCAGTCTCTGGTCTCTGCCATTGAGCCCCAAGAGATCATATACAGACCAAAAAAACACTCCAGTTTGGGCTTGGGTTGGCATGAGACAGGTGATTGGGAAAGCTGAAATAAAGCTCTGGTACTAGATAGCAGGTCTTGCCAGCTGCTCTTTTTCTTAACGTGCTGTAAAAGCCCTGAACATGAATACAACCAGTGCCAAGAATCCCAGATGAACCTTCATTTTACAAGCAATTTGGGATTTATGCTGTAGTCTTGTAAACTATTAAAAGTATGAGTGCATTTGGTTTCACCAATAACCTATCTCTTGTGTTTTCTTTCTGGTTTTAGGCAGATGTGGAAATATCAGAAATAAACAAAATAACAGCAAAAGTCATCCAGACGCCTTTCAAAACGATCAAGAAAGGTCAGTTTGTTTATAAGTGTTGTTAGGTAGCCCTGTGTGCAGTCAGAAGCACGGGCTGCGTGACTGTGTTTTTGCTTACTGGTCTTATTAGCTATATTTCAGCTCTGATTCACTGCCCAAAGTAGGATGAAAAGACCATATTTCCAGATGATGTGATGGTTTTATATCTGGGGAGTCTTTTCTTAGGTTTGCTATATCTTTCAGAAGCATTCTCTGCACTTATCTAAGCCTTCAATATGCCATCTTCTGAAGTCCCATTTGTCCTTCTACAATGTTCTCAATAACTGCCAAAAAAAAATGTCCATGAATGAACAGCTCAGTGAAGAAGAATCATTAGTCATTTGAATTGCCGTTGATTTACATGCAAATGCACCTCCGTCTAATATGGACATTTTTCTTTTCTTTCTAGCTGGAAAATCCAAAAAAGACATTGGAGCTTTTGAAGAAACTGAGTTCTGTTTGCTCCCTGCTTCAAAGAAAAGCAGGCAGGAGAGCCAAGCGCTTGAAGAGCCAAAGTCTGAAAATACCCAGCCAAGGACTGAAAAGGTAAGTGGCTGATTTTTATTTTGGCAAAAGCCCAATCAAAAAAGGGCTGAATAGTGATTGGGATAATGCTTGTAGACTTGCCTAGTACTGCTTACAACAGAATACCTCTGTTCTGCTTAAATAACAAATGCCCACTTTCACTTGTGAAACTGCACGGAGCTTTTCCATATTTTTGCAAAATAAAAATTGGTAAGCTATATGTCTTTCCATGATGGGATTTTAAAACATGTCTCTGAAAATGTTATCCCTTGTATTAGTAACATTTAAGAGACTTTTTTTTTTTCCTTGTGCAACTGACAATGCTGTCTGTGCAGTCAGATTTCCTAGTTTGTTTGGGAAAAAATAGGAAAGCAAACACAGAACAAGCCTCAGGGTAACTTGTAATAGGTGATACCTAGTACTCATTAAATTTTGACAATGCAGGGAAACATTTTGTAGCCTGTCTCTTCTCTCGGTTACAATGTTCAGGCTTATGCAGGGTGCAAGCGCTTCTAGCAAAGATCAAAATACAAGCCCTAATGTTGAGAATTCCCCACATCTTAGCTCTAGGCTATGATAAAGCCTCTAAGGGGAAATGTCTCTTTTTACAGTTTTGCTGGCTGAGAAGGGGACAGGAGGTGTCTACACATGCAATTGGGGCATAGCAATAAACTCCAGCATCATTTGCACTGGAGCCTATTACTCCCAGGCTCAATGTTTGCATGAGTACCTGGGGCCGCAGCACGTTGAACCAGGATGGAGCAGCCCCAACTGGCAGGGAGTCCCGGGGATCAGCCTGCCAGCCCAGGGCTGCTCCACCCCAGCTCAACGTGCTGCAGAGGAGCTGGCTGGCTGGAGCACGAGGGTGCTCCAGTGTGGGGCTAGCTGGCAGGCAGCCCCTGTACTGAAACACCCTCATGCCCCAGCCAGCCAGGTCAGCCTCTACATGCGTGTTGCAGCAGACTAAACCGCACCGCAGGATAGTACTTGTTTTGGGCAGTTCTATCGTACAGCAGAGTTTATTTTAATTTACTCCAGCCTAACAGCACCGTGTGTGTAGACGCTGGCGCTCTACTGCGGAGCTAATTGGTCAGCTCTACAGTAAAGCATCTCGTGTAGATGCACCCTGTGAGTTTGATTTAGCTCTTGCTGTCAAAGTTGGTTTAGTTATGGTGACACTTGCTTGGAAGAGGAGGTCCTTCCAGCCCTATTCTTCTATACTTCAATGAATTGTAGCTAGGTCCCAAAATAGTAAATAATTCACTGGCTCATGTTTCAGGTAAAGGCAGCAACCAAAAGGCCTCCTTCTAGGAGCAGAAGGTGTCCTTCAGCGAAAGTAAAAGCTGCTAATAAAAGGTAACAAGGGAATACCGTTGGTATGGGGAGGAGAGATCAGAAGGTCCTGTTGCCAGTGCCTTGGCAGGTGGGAAGGAGCAGGGGCTGATCTGGCTGGCACAGATGTGCCATGCTCTGAGAGTAGCAAGAGGAGGCATTCCTTGGAGAACAGTCTCCTGGGTGGTGAAGTACTTCTCTTTGTATTTGCAAAGCTTTCGTTGTCTTCTGGCTGCTGTGTTGGGAGGCAGAGAGGACCCTTTGTTTTTCCAAAGATCTCCATCATTCATGCCTCTAAAACCTGCAAAATGATCACTCTTCAAAGGAGCATTTCCTTACTAATGTTACCTCTTACACAGGACAAGCAAAAGTAATTATTCCACTCCAGCTGTTGGCCGAGCATTGGAAGCCTGCACGCAGGGCGGTACCTCTGTGGTGCTATCCAGGTTTGATTCCAGGTGAATGTCCATTTTATCAGCAGAATTATTTACCTCTCTTTTTTTTCATACCTGCTGTGAAGGATTGCCTTGCTATCTGGTCTGCACAGTCCTGTCCCACCTGCTTCCATATGAATCAATTTGTTGCTCTTGGGCAACACTACTCTGCAGCAGCAACTTCAGATCTGTTGATATAATAGAACAATTAGCAAGTACCAGTATTGCAGTGCTAGGCTCCATGATCTCTCTCCACCTCCCAGAAGGGCTAATAGAGTAGTACTGTCTGCACTTCGCAGAATGGGGTGGGATCCTGGAGTCGAAGAAGTGAACTTATTTGACTAGTGTCAGGGGGAGTCCATACTCAGGGGTAAGAATTAAAAATGGAGACTTCATAACTCCCACACTCTGCTATGTTCAGGCTTATACTTTACAATGGGCAATGTGATGATTTCTCTCCCTCTTCAGCACCCTCCCCCTGCACCTTTCCTTTCTCCTACTTGTCTGAACTGCTGAACATGTTCAGACCTTCCCAGACCATTGGCTCAAAGGATACCTCCTGCTTCTTTCTGCAGTCCTTGGTATCAATTGGGAATTGATATGCAGAGCCTAGAACGGTTTAATTTGGGCCAGAGAATGCAAGTTACCTGTGCAGAACCACATTTAAGCAAAACAAATTTGGTGTGTTCCAAAGTGTCATAACTAGGAAAAGGGGATAAGGTAATATCCTTATATGATATAATGCCTTTCTTCTTGAAAGGCCTTTCCCAGCAAGCTAGCTCCTCCTGTTACTCACATCTCAAGTGTGTATTTCATACTCTTGTAAAGGAAATATGTGGTCACTGAGAATGTAGATGTCCTAAAACGAAGGCTAGGCTCCTGGCAGGCCCTTCTAGTGCATGTAACGAGTCAAGGTGGATGAGAAATGATTGTAGCTAAATTGCGTCTTAGAATAATTGCTGCTCTCTGCCACGACAGCTGGTTCCTGCCAAGTTCTGTACTGGTTTGACACTTCAATTTACACCAGTTCTTTTTCTTCCCCTCCCTCCCCCCTTTGGCCTGTTTTCTGCAGGAATGAGTTGCTTGAAATCTCCACCTGTGAAACTCATTTCTGATCATTTTCAGTGGCTGTAGCAGATTTATTCAGCCATACATTTTGGATTCTTTCAGAATTTTCAAGACGCCAGGCCTGCGCACCCCCGCAGTAAACGAACCTGTTTTCATTGTCTCCAAAAATGGCAGCCCTCTTGCCAACACCAACGATGTCATCATAACAGTCCCCCTCAAAGGAGGAGAGGTAAACTAGCAGGCTGCTGAAAACAGAAGGAACTAGTGGAGTGGATTTTGCAGCATACAAAATGCTGCTCCTGGTCCACAGAGCATCTCTAAGAGCAGCACGTTTCTTCCCCCATTACTGTGATGGCCTGCCACATTTCCTAAAAGCCATCTGCTTTCCTCTTTGTTTTTTTGCTGTCTCCAAACTAATGTGGGTGGAAGCATAGCATACCATAGCTGTAGCCTGTAGTGACCTGTCACAAACTAATGGAGACTTGTGATCTTTTTGGCACAGGCTCTCCGTTTTACAGCCAGTGAGCTGACCAAAAGGAATCTTCATCAACTGAATCCAGAGGCACTGGGAGTTATGAAGAACTTATCAGTAAGTCTGTACCCCTTCAGCTATGAATTATAGCTCCTCAGCAGTGGTGCCTGGCAGTGTTGTGGCCTGTCTGTGTCTCTTACAGGATCTTTGCCCTTAAGTTCTTCCTTCCTTGGGTCCATCTGACTCCTCGCCCATGGGCTAAACCAGGTTTTGTGCAACAGCCAGTCTTTTTGGCTGAATAGCGTGTGCATGTGCACAAGAGCGCCTGTTAATGTTCAGGTCCTTAATTCTCAGGGGTAAATGCGCCTTCTGCTTTTGCCACACAGCAGTATCCATCCTTTCCAAACAGCATTTGTTAACCTCTGTGTGTGTGTGTCTCTCTCTAGGTTCGCCTTGCACAGGTTTGTGGCAGTACAAAGACCTAAAGATTTTGACTTTGGATTTTTCATCTCTCGCATAAATCTGAGATGACAAATCAAGGACTACAGTTTCTATATATTCCTTTTTCCCCTTCCACCTGCTTACACAGGTGGAAAACCTGTTCTTAACTTCTGCTGTCATGCACTTCGAGTACATGACTTGCCTCTTACTTTTTTTTTTTTTTTACAAGTAATAAAAATGTTTCTCATTTTTTATGAGAGCTATTTCTTGGCTTCTTTCTTTGTTTGGGGACTGCAGAAGGACATGTGAGGTGGGTCCAGCTGTTCTATTATCCTGCAGGGGCTTGATCAATAAGGGACACTGGCTGTCATGTGACTTCCCAGCCAAATACAAGAGCTACGGTCAAAGAGAGCAGCAGAGCTACTGCATTGCTCTTACCTGGCAAGGCCTCTGGGCTTAAGGGGTGGTGTCTGCTCTCCCGTGAACAGCCAGGAAGTGATGATATTGCAGATAGTTTCATAGTTAGTAGGGTCAGAAGGGACCTGAGCAGATCATAGAGTCAACCCCCTGCCATGGCAGGAAAAAGTACTGGGGTCAAATGACCCCAGCAAGGTGTTCATCAAGCCTCCTCTTAAAGACCCCCGGGGTAGGAGCCAGCACCACTTCTCTTGGAAGCTGGTTCCAGATGCTAGCTGCCCTGACAGTGAAGTCGTGCCACCTGATGTCTAGTCTGAATCTACCCTCTGCAGCTTGTGACCGTTATTCCTGGTCACTCCTGGCAGTGCCCGGGGGAACAGGGACTCCCCCAATGCCTGCTGATCCCCTCTGATTAGTTTGTAACAGGCCACTAGTCCCCCCTCAGCCTTCTCTTGTGGAGGCTGAACAGGTTCAAGTCCCGCAGCCTCTCCTCGTAGGGCCTGCCCTGCTGTCCCCTGATTATGCAAGTGGCCTCCTCTGGACCCTCTCCATGCTGTCCACATCCCTCCTGAGGTGCGGTGTCCAGAACAACGCAGTACTCCAGCTTAATTAAACCCCATCCATAACGAGCCATGCCTGTGTCCCCGGCCCCCGCAGCAGTGCTGGCATCCTGCTGTGCCCACCCGGGGCCAGGCCCACTCCCAGCAGCTGGGACAGGTCCAGGCTGTGCTGATCGCTGCCCCCCACCCACCACAGCTGCGCACCGTCAAGGGGCACGAGCCCGCCAGGCTGCTCTGGCTTCTCGGCCCATCCTGCCTGCGGTGGTGGGGATAAAGGCAGTGCTCGGGGGAACAAGGACTCCCCCAAGGCCTGCTGGTCCCCTCTGACTAGTTTGTAACAGGCCACTACATCCCCCCTCAGCCTTCTCTTGTGGAGGCTGAACAGGTTCAGGTCCCGTAGCCTCTCCTCGTAGGACCGTGTCTGCTCGGTGGTGTCTCGTGCAGCTCCTTTGCCCGGCAAAGGTCATCATGGCCCCATGGCTGCTGGACCGAGGACCACGCATGTCGCAAGAGGCTCCGGCTGGCTCATAAATCAGGGGCACGTGCCGACGGTTCTTTAATTACGCACATCCTATAAATTAGCCACCACTTTGAAGGACTCGGGACTGAGGGGATGTGGTAATAATTCTTGCATAGAGGGGGAGGATTACCTCCCCAGACCTGCTCGAGATGTATCTGTGGATGCAGGACAAGGTGCGGTTGGCCTTTTCTGCCCCTGTACTGATGAAAAGGGAGTTCCCCAGCCTGTAGGTATCATGCCGGTTCTTCCTCCCCAGGTCCAGCACCTCGCACTTGTCAGCGTTGAATCCCATCCTGTTCTCCCACCCCTGTACCCTGTCTAGGTCCGATTGCAGCCTATTCCTCCCTCCTAGCATGCCCACATCCCCCCACATCTTAGTGTCATCAGC